CCCCCCCGGACTCGGTTTACACATATACGCGCATTTACACGTACGTGCACGACGCACACAGGCCAAGCGAAAGGGAGGAAGAAGAAGCGAAGCCGCGAAACTGCTCTTTCCTCTTCTTCCTCCTCTTCTTCTTCTTCTGCTTCTCGGTCCTTCTCTCTGTTTCCTCCTCTCGCTTCGGACTCTTTCCTTCGGTTACGTCGTACACATTTCTTGTCATACGCACAACCAAAGACGGGGTGAAACGTGAAACAACGTAGAGAAAAACGGGAAGTCCCATCGATTTTGCCGACGACCGATACAACCCCGTCGGCACGTTTAATTAGAACATGGCGACTTTAATACAAGCGCACGACAACAAGAACAACAACAGCGCTCCCCCGCTTTCCCGCGGCGACACCGTTCGCGATTCTGGGCCCGGTTGATTGTTGTCTGCCGTAGTTTTGCAGCTCCGCTCTATTGAAAACGACGAGAAAACCATGTCCTTCTCGGCCCTCCTTCCAGAGGGGGTGGGTGATGGGGAGATGGGGGGATCGCTTATCTACCTAACTTAACGCGATCTACGCTAGTGCCAGACACCCCTTCTCGGTTCATCCACTCATCCATCATTGTCATCGTCGTCATCGTAGTCATCATATTATTATTCACCTCCTTCCTCTCGAAATCACGCCCGTTCGAACGCACACGCGCCTCTCACGCATACACACACATACGTACGCGCGCAAGCACACATATACATGGACAAGCAGACGCTCTCTCTTTCTCACCGATTTTCAACGTCCACTCAAGCCGCTCGCATTCTCGCGCTAAGACTAAATTCTCTACACGCCTACGCTAAACATGAAAACACCCTATCTACATGAGCGCCCTTGACGCTCGCGACCCGTCGGACCGATCCGGAAACTGTCCATCCCCGATGACTCTCGTTCCCCGTCGCGGTGCCGATCGCACGATCGGTCCCACGGGCCATTCGTTCGAGGGTCGCGCGCTAATCGTTAAAGTTAACTCTAGGAATGCTTAGGGTCACTTTACTTAGAGTAATATGGTACAGTATATGTCTTGAGGAGTTACGCTTCTTCGAGGTACACCTGCCTTCTTCTCGGGACGGATTGCCGAAACGCGTCGACGGGCCCACGCGGAAGCGCGCTCCTGGCCATCCTCGCGACTTCCCGACGAGAAACCGCCTTTTGTTTCTCTCTTCGTGTCGTTCTTACGCGCGCTTCGGCGAGCAGCGGAAGCGCTATGCGCGGAGGAGGATTCCGAATTGGACGTCGTTATTGGCGACATTTCATTACTTCTACGTATCGATCACAGCTAAGTCTCTAAATTGCGTCCTCCGTGAGACTCGTATTTGTATTTTTTCGGGAAGGCGATCGGAGACCGCCGGAAACGTAACGCGGCGTCGGCGTCGCGAGTCCGCTGCGCGCTTCCTGCTTCCAGAATCGAACTCGATCTCGGCAATCCACCCTCTGTCTCGACACGGGTAGAGCGGCCACATATGTCGTCTCGCGTTGATTTTAAAAAGGGATGGCGTGTGTGCGTGTGTGAAAAGTACGATTCTGATTGCGTGTGATTGCCGTCAATTGATATGACTTAAAAATTGTACTTTTAATTATCGCCTACGTCTCTCCCCCTCTCTCTCTCTCTTGATCTCTTTCGCTTCTTCTTCTTTCCTGTTTCCCTCATTTCCTTGCACTGATGACGGAGGATGATGAGGGGATTACGCGATAACGCGGGTTTCGTTGTAAAATTACGTCAAAGAAACGAGCGATTCTCGCTCAAGCGAGCCCGGACCAGTGTGTGTGTGTGTGTGTGTATGTGTGTGTTTGTTGATAAAAGTAGCTGTATAAATATTGTTTCATGCGTTACGCGACGATCGTTTCCCGCACGCTCGATTCGTTCAATTTCTCCCGTAGATACATATGTGTGTGTATGTATGTGTATATATATGTATATGTGGCGTCTCCACCCGTCTCATCACGTAACAAATAAGTTAAAAGAGTTTATGATACACATATTAGTTTTGGTCTGAATCGAACATGAGTACATCTCTCACGGTCGGGGGTGTGAGCAAGCGATCAACCTCCTTGGAAATCGAGATTTACATTACAGCTTTTTTTCACGGTCACGTGAGGACGCGAAGGATGACTCAAGTTATCACGAGTGGTCTTAACACGGTGACGCGTTCTGATTTTAATGTACACATGCCCGATTTAATCCAACCGTATTATGCCGGCGCGATTCCGCGAAGGGTAAGGAAGGGGGGGGCGGAACCTCCCGCCGGTTCCTTGTTCGTGTACGAGCTCACGTTTTTCCTTCAGATCCGACGATTCCGCATGCTCAATTTACCGTCGATGCGACCGCACATTCCGCTCTCGGGGTGGAGAATGTTGGCCGTGAGGGAAATTTACGCCGTGCGTCTCGACGATGCAAGTCAAGATCGGCGACCTGACAGGAAACGATGTCGAAGAATATACGAAATAATGCTCGAAGGAACGATACTTGCGACAGCGTTTCTCGCCTTCGAGCCCGCAAACGATGGAAATAACAAATACGCGTATGCTCGCACGATGTGTACGCGTCACTGTCAAATCAGAGAGAGACTAATTTTCTTTGGTATGTATTATCTTTGGCGGAAAAATTAACTGAGTCCCAAGTTTCACCTCGACGGGAATCTTCTTCAAGGGGGTGGGCGGACGCGAGGGAGTGTCTATTTCCCGCGGGGGGGAACGGTAACGGTAAAGAGATTCATGCGAATCCTCTCACGGACGCACACCCTGTACTAACGTAATGCATTATACTGTATGTACAACGTTCTTACAATAACTTCTCCTCTCTCTCTCTCCTCTTTCTCCCTCTCTACCCTCTTTCTCTCTCCCTCCCTCTCTCTCTCTTTCGTTCTTTTTTTGGGCGCACCGTCGGCCGCGGCGACTCCAAATCCGTAGGACACTCGTTACGCGCGGAGAGATCGCCTCCGTTCACACACAGGCGGCTCGTAAGTGATCGTTAATTAATTACGACGACGTGTGGTTTAGGTATTGCATCCGAGGATTGCAAACGAGTATTGCGACGGTATTGCACACGATACTGAACTCGGTAGACGAGCGTACCGAGCGATTCGGGCATCGAGATCCGCCCGGACGCGTCTTCGTCACGGACACGTTTCTACGTTTCACGGACATCCCTCTCAATTTCAGCATCGAGGCACGATTGAGAGAAACGCCAACGCAAAGGAAACTCGTGAACTTGTCGTCACGTTACAAGGAGAGAAAATAACGTCGCTGTTTGCGCTCGCTCGGGATCCGCTCGGGATGTTGCGACCGCTCCGGAAACGAAGACGCGCGGAAAACGGGCGGATTCGCATGCGAGTACCTGAAGCGGAGAGTACGTTCCGAATTGGCGCGCGGGGGTGTTCCTCGATTACGCAGCGACGGCACCACGACGACGGCTGCGGCTCCGGCGGCGACGGTTCGTGTTTCCTCTTTTTTTTTTCTTTCATTTTCTGCTTTTTTTCCCCTTTTTCTCGAAACGCTGCCCTCAACGCGGCGTGCCCAGGGCACCCCAGTGCTCGGCGGTGGGTCATGCGTAATGCGGATAGGTGCCGAGATGAGGTGGTACGTGTCCCGAGGCCGTGTGATGGCCGGCGTACAGGTTCGCGCCCGGACTGGTCGACCAGTAGCTGGACGCCGATTGGAAGAGGCCGCCTGGAACGGAGACCGAGACCGAAGCCGCCGGCGGCGGCATCAGGTTCAACTTGGCGTGGCCGTAACCGGACATGAAGAGCTCGCTCTGGTACTTGTACGCCGCCGGGTCGGCCGCCGCCGGCTGCGTCGCCGCCGCCAGCCCCTGGAAATCGAACTTGTACGCGTACCTCTTGCCGTGCACCTTCGTCATGATGTTCTTGTCGTAGTAGTACCTGCGGACAGACGGAGTACGCGTTGACGGATCACTCGGATCTCACGAGCACCCCCGTGAGATCTCGCCTCGTGCGCCGTGAAACAAATTACAGCAATTTTCCGCCGTCTAAAGAAAGACCTTTTTCTCTATCGTGTACAAAAAAAAAGTGATTTGACTGCAATTGTTTCTCACGAGCACTCATGTAGATCCCGTGTATCTTTCTCTCGAAGTGGTTCGCGACTTTTCCGTCGGGATCGGTCGAAATAACGCGAGGATAATCGATATTACGCGTCGCGTATCCGCGATTTCGTGAATTTACGCGGGCCGTGCGGACAAGGGAGTCCTCGGTGCTGGTGCGGGAATCGCGGGAACGAGTCCGCTTCTCTTGTCCGCGGGGTTCTTACACGGCGAACGAAGGGACGTCAAAAAAAGAGAGCAATCGTGTAATATAATCAGTGGATCTGATGGAAAAATAATAGCCGCGTCTACCGTCGGTCTGACTCGGTCGGTGATTGAAATTTCTCTCCCGGCCGCCACCCCCTGAACCCTGACGACACCGACGACATGCACATGCACGCCGACGGACGCGGACGGGCGAGCGCGCGGCCGCACACAGCTATCTCGGCGCACGTGTGCGCCGAACGAATTTACTTTCTCCCCGAAACTTCGTCAAAACATAAATGATGGCCCGTTAATGGGTTTTCCATTTGACGTTCACGATAGGAGAGAGAGAGAGAGAGAGAGAGTGGGAGGGAGAGAGAAAAAAAGAGAAAAACGGCGAAAAAATGTGGTTGTCGCGTGTTACACGGTTGCATTTCGCGAGCCGTCGCGTCGCGCGGGGAATCCCGGCGTGAGGGAAGTGCGAACTCGCATCGGCAACACTCACCTCAGAGCCCTCGACAATTTGTCGTAATTCATATTAGGCTTGGACTTCCTCTCGCCCCATCGTCTCGCCACCTCGTCGGGATCGGTCAGCTTGAACTCGCCGTTGGTTCCTTCCCACGTGATGCACGCGGCGTTACTCGAGTCCGAGAGGAGCTCGAGCAGAAACTGCCAGAGCTGAATCTGACCGGAACCGGAGCTCGCGAGCCGACTGCTCGTCGCTCCGAACATTTGGTAGGGATCTGCGAGGTGACAACGGTTTCAGCGCTTCAGCCGGGAGGATTCAGCGCGCTTGATTTAGGCTTAAAACTTCATGATCGAGCCGCAAGTTTTACTCTCGACTTCTCCTACGACGACGTCGCACCTGTCGTCCGTCCTCGCGCGAATACTTTCGCTAAGTGTCGCAAAGTGTCGGGAGGGATACACCGAGAGATATCATCAACCCGTTGCGTTGGAATAACGGTTCTCTCCCAGACGTGTTGGGCTTTCGCGAGCTGAATGTGTACAATGATTAATGTAATTGATCACAAACTTGACGTTGATCTTGTTACTTCGATTTTGGATATTTACAAATAAATCCCTCGAAAATCGCTCGATTCTTATTCGTTTGTTTGCCTTCCATTTTCAACCGTATATTCGATCTCACTATTTCGTAATAGGCAAACCCTTAAGAAAGCTTACCGCGAGATTATGTAGGTATAAATTGAGTAGCAATGCATACTTTCGTCATTGTTGAACGTCGTCGAATTGTTAAGTAGACGCCTGCGTCCTACAAGTCCGCCAACGCAAGGGGTTAAAATCAATCATAATCCAGTCAAATTAAAACATCACTCAGACTCGTGCCGGACACGATGCGATCTTGTTCGTATAGTATATTACCGAGATTCAAGCGCGATGATCGTAGATGGACGAAGCCGACAGTAGAACGAAAGACCGGGAGATGAACGGTATAAGCATAAGCGCAGAATTCCGCTGCAAACTTACATTGCGAGTAACGTAACGATGTCAAACGCGCGATAACGCCAAATCTGATCACTATTGTGATTCGCCCTCGTCGCACGACTAGCGCAAGCTCCCTCGCCGGATAGCGACGGCCCTCGTTAAATCGCACGGCCGCAGCCGTGACGATCTCGCCGGATAAAACGGCGCAGAGACTTGATATTTCCATGCGACTCGCTTTCCGAGAAATTTTTCGCTGTTTCGCGCGGAATATATACCTATCCATTACACGGTTGTTTTCCAAGGGCCCCCCCGTATCGCCCTTTAAAAGCTTTACAATGCGTCATCACCGACGCTCGCCGGCGCTCAGACGTGGAGGGCCCTACAGCCGTACAAAAGAACATAATCGCAACCCCACAATAGAATAGAATTCATTTGGATCATAATAATTTCAATTTGAGAAACTGTCGACACAGAGTGGCTCAAAGGGTGAGACGAGTGTCTTCTGGGCCTCCGAAGGTTCGGCCGGGGAGCTCGATGTATGGATTTTTATTGTTGCGATGCGAAAGAGATGAAATGAGAGAGACAGAGAGAAAGAGAGAAAAGAAAGAGAGAGAGAGAGAGAGAAAGGAAGAGATTGCGCTCTGAGCCTAATGAAGCTAATAATAGACTCTGTAAATCTGCGCGGTATGCAAGTACGAATTTTCTCAAAACTCGAAAGTTGGAAATTCCGAGTCGACAATGGAGCCAATTAATGGGCGCGGAGCTACCTCGCAATTTTTCACGATGGAGAAAAAAGGTGTAACGGACCATCGTAATGAGGAAGGAGGCCGGGCGGTCGGTTGGCTGGCTGGCAGTCGCGATTTAATGACTTTCTCGATCTGAAAGAGCAAAGAGAGAGAGGGAGAGAGAGGGAAAGAGAAAGAGAGAGAGAGAGAGACCCCCGGCAGGAGAGACCTCCAAGATGGACCCCCATAAAAATACAAGCCGAGCGATTATGAGAGATGGGGGACAGACGCGGATGATGGGGACGGATTCGGAATTGCCGGACCTCAAAGGTCGTTTCGCCCGATGAATCCGCTGAATGCGTGCCGGAGTGATCGCCTTTCGATCGAACGGTAATTCACTTACAAGTTAATAATGGGAAGGGGCGCGGTACACCCATTTATCTGCCGGGAACGAGGGGGAGTAGCACGACGGGCGAAATACTGGGATGCGACTACGCCCGAGGATTCTCGAGGCTCTTTTCTCGAGTTGAGACTTTCGAGGAATCGATGATGCGCGGGGGCGAGCGCGCGCGCGCGCGGGTGAGGTAACAGTGACCTTGTTCGACTATCGCGTAGGTGAACCCCTTTTCACCTTGCTCCCGTATTCCCGGATTTACACCGCCGGTGTGTCCGGTGAGAGAGCCTCCTTTACACGTAACCTGATCTTTTCGCGAGATTTCGCGTTTTTCCCCCCTTTCCTTGTTTTTCGCCCCGCCCGAGAACTCGATATCCGAGCGAGAAACGCTTCCTCGGCGGTACGATTCGCGCGCCTCCGGCCCGGATTTGCTTTGGATTCCGCCTTGGTGAGAAAAGAATGCTTTAGCTTCTCAAAAATATCTACCTACTACATACCAGGCTGCCTGAGATGGCTGTGCGTGTCCAATGCCGACTTCGATAAGCTGCTTCCATACCCTGAAACAAGATATTTCGCATCCACGTGTTACGATATCTATCGATACTTCACAGGCAGAAATTGACGAGAGATCGGCAAGAACGCGCCACATTTGCCTTATTGATCTCGGATTCCTCGTCGAGAGTTCGTAAAATGATAAACTCCCTGATCGCATAGCAAACTCGTTAATTGATACACCGGATAATCGTGATCTCTTCCTCTTCTCCCTCTTTCGAGAGAGAGAGAGAGAGAGAGAGAGAAAGGCGCCAAGTTGTGAATTTCGAGCATCGTGTAACCCGGTCGTCGGTCACGCCGATCGAGAAATCCCGAGACCGTGCGGGAGGTGCCGGAAAGTCATCGGCTCGCCGAAGATGAAAAAGTGCAAACTCAAGCTCGGTCGAGCGTTAGAATCCGTTAGAGAGGATTTCCGTGTAGGCAAACACGGGGCTGAGTGCCTACGTGTACGTTTCTCTCTCTCTCTCTCCTCTGTCTGTCTGTCTGTCTCCCCATGGCCGTTTCATAGGCCTCTTCTCCGTCTTATCACACTCGGATTCCCTCTTCGTGCGAACGCTTCTCGCCCGAGGCTCACGCTCGACGGTCACGTCCACACACGGCTGTGCAATCTGTTTAAGGCACAATGCCCCTTAATTTCGACTCGTTATACCCTCTCTCTTTCTCTCTCTTTCTCGCAGACCCGGCGCCTACGAGGTCAGTCGACTGGCTCCTCGTTACCCGAAAAACCAGCTGGATCACGGGAATCGTAATCATTTCCGAATGGGCTCGGTCGCGCCTCGACACTCTCGAGAGGTGTCGCGTACGCCAAATCACTTTACGATTGCCGCATCATTCTGAAATATCCCGTCGCGCTCGAAGAAAAGAAAAAGATACACCGAGTCCGTAGAAAATTACATGACCCCTTGAATCCTGTTATCGTTTATATTCTCGCCAATGAATACACACACAGGTCGATACGTGTCGATAACGATTTTGCGAGCCTTGGGCGAGCGAACGAGCTCCCCCATGGCGACGGCATTTTCGACGTTTCTGCGATAGATAGACGACGTCGTCGTCGCCGTCGTCGGAATGTGTGTAGCGCGACGAGCCGCCCCCCATGGGGCAGATGCTACCTTTAAATAGCAGTTGGTGTCCGCTGTGTTAAACAATCTGATTTCGCTTCTGATTGGGAAGCGGCTACGGCCTTGGACGGAGGGTCCGGGGACGGGTTCCTGGGTCTCCGCGGGTCGTAGGGTCCGCCGCAATCAGTGTAGCCGCGGGGCTTCGAGCCGCACGCTCGTGTTCCAACGCAAACTCCGTGCAGGGTGTCATCATCACCGAGAGAGACTCGATCGCACATTCACAGCGTAGAATTCTCGAAATCTCTCTCGGGGCGAAATGTCGCCCGAGACGAGGGAAAATTCACTCCGAGCGGATAGTGAAGACGGGCATTCGGAATCACAAGAGCGGATGTTTAACTCAGACTTAATCAGTACGAGTGGATGTTTCTGTGGATCGATCTGGGTGAACTTGTTCCAGCGAAAACACAGTGGAGTACGTCGGATTCGCTCGGCAATTTCGAATGATAATATACTCTCGACGTTTCAGAGCGGAAGAATTCGCTCTGTGATGAGTGAAAAACCGCGAGTTGGAGTGATCTGGCTGTCACCCGCGCACGGAGTGACGCCTTGTCACGGCGCGCTGAGTAATCTCCAGTGGAGGTGGAACAAAGTTACCCCAGAAAAAGAAGACTCGAGAGAGAGAGAGATTTAAACGAAGATTTTTAGGACTTAGATTTTGAGAATTAGAAGTTTTTAGGAAATTTTACACACGTCAAGATATTAGTGTATGGAAGAAAGCGAGCATCTGTCAGCCACCATAATAAAGAAGATAAAAATAAAGAAGAAGATTCGGCTATCGCTCTAATTTTCGAGCGGAACTTCGCTTGAAGGAAAAAAAAATGACAGTGGGTAAAATAGGTCGATTTGGCCCCCGAAATGGCGAGTGGAAACGATGTGTCTTTTGTAGTTTTTGAGCTGGTAAATCTGACTTTTAAATAATTTTAATTTGTCGGGAAAGTATTAAAATCAATTCAGCGGCTTAAGAACGATAAAAAGCATACCGTTTTTATTTGCCACTCCGCAGCTAAAATCAGCCCATTTTGCCCATCGTTCTTTAGGAAATATCCACGATAAAATCAATTATCTGTCATAAGGACGTTGTGAAAAATATAGACAGTGGTAAGCTCTCGCAAAAAATTCAGGAAGCAGCTGGACCTCTTCCTCGGGATTGCCCCGTCGCCAACGAGAATCGAGCCGATCGAACGCGAGGAATGTTCCCTTAACCGTTATTTCTACAAATCCACCCTGCGTACCCTGCGTGCGGTGATTCGACGCGTCACCTCGAATCGATGTGCACGAGCCATTGTCGCGCGTATATCTGTGCATTCACGAGCAATTACTCGGGGCGGGGTAATCCCGTTAGACGGCGTGTAGCTTCCTCGCGAGGGAGGATCAAAGAACCCGTCATTCCGTGCTGCTGCACTCTTTGCTAGCCCCGGACGCGCACAATGCCGATTCGCCGGCGTCGCGACGCCGAAAAGAAAGGGGGAGATCCGCGTTCCGCGACTCGTTTCGAAACTTTGGGCTGCATTCCAACAAAACAGCGAAGCGCGACCGAGGACGAGGTCCTCGCCCGTTTCTATCGTATCGGGATATCGTTCCGCCACGCTAATCCCGACATGTCGCTGACCGAGGACACCGTGTCGCGTCGGGACTGCGTCCAAATCGCCCGGAGATTTTTGAACTATCGTCCCTTATCGATACGCGCGAGGATTACTCGGGGGTTTCGCCGTAGTTTATTTCGATACTTGGAAATTGAAATGAGCGACGCGATATTTCCCACTACGGGAATCTTCCCAAACCACTCGGTCGCGTTTTATAGATTGAGAGGAAAATGACTAACGATTAATTTTGCTTAAACTATTAAATTATAATAATAACAGTAACTTTATTGGTCCCGAGAAATAGATAAATAAGAGAATAACGTAACACAAAAATACAAATAAAAGATAAAACTAGTATCGTAGTAGGGAACTAACAGACGAGGCCGGCAATGGCAGCTGATACTGACTTACGAATATTTAACTGATTACGAGCTTTATCGTAGCCATTTTTCGCGCTAATCTCACGTTCTGTTGTTATTCTAATAAAAAGTGGTAACGCACAAAAAATACGCATATATAATATTGCAACATGTAACTTGCTACAAAACTGGACCTGCCGACTCCAGTTACTTCGCTATGGAATTTCCCAGTCACAGTTGTACCGAACAGCTTATTCTCAGAACAGCCCCCGGACTCGTGTCCGGAGCAGCGCCACCCGCCGATCTTGTTCACGCCCGGGACGATAAGTCGATTCATCATCGGCCGAACTGTAAGCTTCAAGCGGCGTCACCGATTCGCACACTACCGTCTCGGGGCTGGCGGACTTATTTCGAACATAAATCACCCTCCGTGCGAGAGCACGCCGCGCCGCGCGTAATAATGAGCAAGCAAGCGTAGCGTGTCAACCCTTGAGCGTAGCGGGCGAAACGAGTCGCTCTTACGAGCAACGCTGTGTCGTTTAGAGAGGGAGAGAGAGAGATGGAGAGAAGAATAGGTCATACCTGCGAGCACACATAGAAAGGGCGAAGATCTCTCTCTCTCTCTCTCTCTCTCTCTCTCTCTCAGACGGGGGTGTTATTTTTCGTATCCCGCCGACAAACCGCTCCGTCGCGCTCGTTCCCGTGGAAACGTGCCGTGGAATGCGAAGGTGTTTTCACGCCCGTCTCTCGCGCGTTTCACGCACGCCAAAAGGACTAACTCGATCCTGCCGGCCAGATCTCGGTAGCTGACTCGAATTTGAGATAAAAAGAGCAATCGTCTCGCTGTCATTGCCGAGAGAGCCGTTGCGGGGGTAAAACGCGGATGTTCGGACGGTTTTCGCGCGGCAATTGCGGGGTTCGATGATTACACGTAATCTTCTCATAAACGCCATCGCCGTCGCCATCGCGCTCGTGCGAAAAATTGTAATCCGTATCGCTCTGGGTATCGCACGATCGTTCGTGACATCGTACACTAAAGTTTCCGTGGTACCTACTACTACGTACCGTACTGCTCCGCATTAACTAACCGTCCGGTAAATTGCCTTCTAAAAAGCGGAAGTTGCAGTTGTTGAATGAGGGTCCCTCGAGAAGTTGGACGTGATGGCGCTCTACATGAGGCGGCCTGACGGAGGTAACATGTTTTTGTTCGTCAGATAAGGGCAGGCGTAGCAAAAGTTATTTGTAAGAGCGAGCTGCGTAGCGCGGAAGAAAATTAATCGTTTCCTAATTATCGCATAGCGTGAATAGCGACGGCGGGTCGGCTGGCCAGTCGGCAGGAAAAAAGATTCTTGTCTTTAACCCGAGCCTCCGCACGACACACCGCACGTTCTCTCCGTCCGGGCGGCTCCGCAAGTATTGTTTAGGGCCTAATCACTTTTCACGTTATCCACGCGATCACACACACTCGCAAACGCTCGGAAAAATTCCGGCGTTCTTATCGTTTCCTTGAAGAAAAAACATTCGCGAAGGGTGTGTCGCGACTTTTTCATTTCAGAGTTCGCGGAGAAGTGTGATTTCGCGATGTATGTGTGTTAACATCCTGCCGTTAAACATTTCTTCAAACATCAAACTCAATGAACGTCGCGACGGCACCTTTAGAACGCAAAGGGTCAAGTAATAATAACATTTTGTCGCGATATTACGTTACAAGCGTCTCGAGTTGCGTTTTCTCAGCGAAATCGACTACTCTTTTTTTTGCGCGCGCGCGCGCGCGAATGCGTAGACGCTCGACTGTGCACGGTTAAAGTGGAAACGCAATCCCTGCACCCCAACAAGGAATCAGGAATAAATGCCAGCCGATATGGGGGGAGGAGGGGAGTACGGGCGCAGGCAGCCATGCGTAAACGTGTCACGCATAGGCACGTGCCCGTGTATGTACTAC